TTTCAAAACTACAGCCCTTTAAGAAGAATCTTGTCTGCCATCTGCTGGACACTTTTTGTTGTGCTCATATTTAGACGTCCTATTTTGCAAATGATGCCTTCCTGAKATTTGGTATGCTTGTTTGTCTTTGTGTCCAAGGTGTAAAATGATGTGATTGTGATGCTGTATTTCTGAGTGTTTTATGTGCTGCAGAACAGGAACCTGCTGTAAAACAGCAATTATGCTGAGTCAGGCTTGATTTTTAGTAATCTTTTCCTGTTAAATCAATAAATCAAATCAAATCAATATTGAACAAACTTTAGGACAGATAGGATACATTGTTCAGAGGAGCAGTTCTAAGCACTTTATAGTATGACCCCCCAAAAAAGTTGTTTTGTTTTTTAAAGTGCTGTCACACAGAGACATCTCAGGCCGTTTGTGACCAGCTCTTCTCTTTGGTCTCTGTAGTTTCCTGGAGAACCTGGAGTCTCGCAGTAAGGGCTATGCTTCTCCTGGTCCAGCTAACGGTCAGAGTCCTTCATCTGGTTCCCAGTCTCCCATCGTCCCTCCTAGTGGGGCCTCCACAGGCAGCTCCAGTCCTAGCACACCACAGCCCCCCATACTCCCCCAGGCGCTTCCTCAGTCACCATCTGTGTGTTCCCCATCCCCTCCACCTCCTGCAGCCATGGTTGGTGGGACAGCCTCACCCACAGCTGAGCTGAAGGCACCAGCACAAACACCCGAACACCAACAGCCTTCAGCTTCACCTGGGGGGTCAGCCCCTCAAAAACGCAGTTTCATCTCCCGCTGGTTTGGCTCGTCTTCTGCAGCTGAGGCTCCTGCAGTGGCACCAGGTCAGTTGAAGCTTCAGATAATCTGATTTTATAACCTTTACTCTTAACACTATCACTGTTTACTTAAACAGTTTGTGTTTTTACACAAGGTGCTCTGATCTCCAGACCTCCTAAAGCCACCAGAGGGAGTCAGTTTTACCCCGTCAGGGAAGCTTTAACTCAATCAAAGATGACATTTAAAGATTCTGCATTTTTTTTCCTTCAGTGCTGTATCCATCATGAGTAGACAAAAATTTAGCATGAAATGAAAAAGGTTTAATTCATCAAAATCATTTTTGCATCCCAATCATGACAGACTGAACTACATATAAAAACTGAACCACTCATACCTTTCCTTTACTTTGGGTGATGTTCCAGCCACAAATTTCAAAGGATTTTACTGAGATTTTATGTGCCAACACAAAGTAGTTTATAATTGTGAAGTGAAAAGATGATTCATGGTTTTAAAAAAGTTTTACAAGAAAAATCTACAGTGTTTGTATTCAGTCTCTTTGCTCTGATAACTTTAACTAACATGTAGTGAGAGTAATTCAACCACAGCAGAAATCTATGGCTGGGTCCTCATAAACACGTTGCCCAGCTGGGCCACGTCCTTCCCAGTCCGGGTAGGCTGCATAAAACTGCTGAAATGAGATGGTCTAGCCTTCGCTTGACGAATGCTGCCCCGTATCTCCCTGTATATCAGACTTAAAATGTGTTGGGACGTGTATTTAAACGTCTTTTCACTGGAAGAATAATTTCCCAAATAAAACATTACACATAAAAAAAAAACATTCATAGCATGAGGATGCAGCTTATGAATTGAGACACAGTCTATCTGTTCTCTGAATGCCTCACAGAAACATTATGATCAAACAATTAGGCCTGTCACGATAACAAATTTTGCTGGACGATTAATTGTCTCAAAATTTATTGCGATAAACGATAATATTGCCTGGTGACCGTTTTACAACTA